GACCGAAGACAACGGACGACAAGGGGACAAATAAGGGAGAAACACACACGCCTCAAGTGCATCCGAATAGATTTTATTCACACATCATGTTGCATACGCCACCCTCTCACGTACGAGTGTATTTGTCCCTTGTCCCCTTTGTCGCCCGTCGTCTCCCTTTAGAATCACGTGCTACTTTTACATTTTTTTCAGATTTCAATCTTTGTTCGCAGAAATAAACCGCAGATACAGACATTGACAGAGATACAACTTTTATAGAGTTACTTTATAGTGTGATCTATACTCTTTTGTTTTATCAGGTTTAATATATTTTTGATAATTCTGACTGGATTGACATTGCTTTCACAGTGAAATAATTAGAAATGATGCTGTAGAGAAGGAAATATTACTTCTGCTTTGCGGTGCCACTTTACAGAACGCGAATGAATTTGTTTTAGGATAAAAAGAACAACATTAGAAGTAACAACTTACGTGGTTTGATAGACGAAACCTTGAAGTAGTAACCAAAATACTTTACTTGGTAGTCATTTATAAATCTCACAAGCACCTTAGTGCGTTACCGAAACAAGGAACGCGTTACCATAACGTTATTACGTGTAACCCGTACGTTGCTTCCAACACTGCATTTTCGCAACCGGGTGTTGACCCAACATCGTGCAACGGAGATAACGAGAATGCATCTGCAGATACCTTACTCGCGAAAGACACCTCACCCCGCGAAAATGCAATGGCCTTGGTGCTGACAAGTTTTGGATATATGTAATGACTGGATGGGTCGCTGAGTCGCCGTTTTCCACTTTGAATTGGGAGCGGTACGGCAGAAATATCGATCTTCTGCAGCTTGTACGTCTTCAAAGCTGACTCCATCTTCACACCTCCTTCACATGTGTCCTTCCATGTTGTTTTAACTGTTCACTGAAATTTTCTTATCACCCCCTCTCTTTTTTTTCCATTGTTATCAACATATTTTGATGCGACTCTTCTCGGTCGATTTTTCGCTTTGGTGTTAATGCTACTCATATATAGGGCTGAAAATTATTCGTTTCTATTGCTTTCCTTTGGTCATCTTCAAAGTATATCTTCTTGCTAGCTTCCCTACCTTTAAAGATGGCTATCCATGATGCACTGTACGGCCTGGTTAGCTGCTCACCCTTCAGCCACCTTGTCTGGGCTTTCGGTTTCATCCGTGCCCTCTTCTTCATTACAGCTGCATTCCTGACCCGTTTACCAGTTGCGAATTTCTTGTGCCCCAAAAGATATTCTCGTTAATGCTAAGAGCTCAGGCGAAACACCTCCCGCCTATTTCCCCTTCAACACAGCGAACGCTGGAGAGGAGGCGACCCCTTCTCCAGCGTACGCTCTGCTAAAGAGGAGAGAGAGAGAGAGAGATACTTTATTATATAGCCGCCCATGTCAGGTGAGAGGAGTTTCCCCTGAACTCTTCACCTGCCACCAACTATAGATACCTGAACTGAACCGCCATCGCAACCTTGAGTGTACTTGTTGTTCTAGATCTTAGATCGTTCAAACTCGCGATTACGGATTCGTCGCAACAGAATTCGAGACGGAACTGCGGAACCTGACGGATCTTGGGATCAATCCCCACACCTGCCAGTTTCGATCCGAATGAGCATCGTAATAGCGCGCGGTCGTGTATCGCTACAGCGTGATGCACGTTAAGGACCCCAGGCTAGCAGTCGCACGGTACACGCTAAATTTCTCACCTACAGTGGGTAACAATGTAGCCATACTCTGGAAGTTGTTTTTGTTTCTTTCTTCTGCGTCAGATATGCTCATTCATTCATGCAAATTCCTCATACTGTAAGGCCTCAGCACCGTATCATCTGTCGATCAGTCCTGGTAATGCCTATGTAACTTTTTTGACCTTGTAACGTGAACAATACGAGCAATAAAAGGCGTTCTCAAAACTTCGACTTTGTCGGCACCGGCTTCGGTATGCCAGTCTCATTTTGTAACCCCCATCTTGATTTTGTTTTCTTGTTTTACCACCTGAATTAATTTATACCTTTTATGGAAGCACGTGGTCGGCCGCAAGGTGGCGCTGCCGGTCATTACGAGGCCCGGAGCGGATTCCACTTAGTTCCTTTACACACCACCAGTTCTTTTCGCACCACCCCATCCTAAAGCCCATGTACGCACATATAAAATTAACGCGGTTCATTGTTCAAAACGTTCCTCCCGCCGGCGAATTTGCCCAAAATGGCATCGTGCAGCCAGGAAGAGAGATGCGGGGAGAGGGGGAGTAGCGTTATTTTTTCGTTTGCGCCGGCTTTATAGAAACCAGCACACTGTTTGAAAACAAACGTGCATTTCGCCACACCAGGTGCGGGCGCTACGCGTGCCCAGGAACCTGCTTTGCGAGAGCTGAAGGGACTGCGCATGCGTCGTGGCGTAAGCAGCACCACCGTTGCGGCATGACGTCAGCGGCGCGCTGGTGTTTTCCACTGTGCAATGAGCGTTCTTCGTAAAGTGATTCTCGTCGGGACTTATATAACAACAAACGGCGGGAGCAGTAGCGCTTACATGGAGTTAACGCGTCTCAATTTCAATCCAGTGAATAAAGCCTGAATGGTTCTCAAGCAAACGAGTCACTTGCGTCCTTCTAAATTTTGATTTTTTTTTTTTTAGGGTTTTAAAACTAGTGTTTGAAAAGTAAGTTCCTTGTTTTAAAATGTTTAGTTACAAATACTCTACGCGCAGACGTCCACCAAGCCTAATATTCTCAAAACATAAACTGACATTGTAAGCAAGAAAGAAAATAATATCCTCTTTCCTGCGGATAAGTGTTTTTCACTATTATAAATTTCACAAGCGTCTGCAATGTCAGTTTTTGCTTCGACGATATTACGCTTAAGTGGATGTCGAGCCATAGAAATGTTTTTTTTTTCTGAATTATTTTTTGATCCAGGTAACATTGTTTTTAACCTTTCGCGTTCTATCCCAACCGCCAGAGTCACATCTTACGGAGTATGAGCTTTTTGCTAAAAAGTACTTGAAGTACAAAGTAAATGCGAGGTTATGTAGTTCAAGCCAAGCAATAAGACAACCGAGAGCAATATACTTGAAGTTTGCTTTGTAGCGTGAGCTACACTGGCCGAGGTTGAGCAGTTTCGCGTGGCTGTCAAAGAGCCGGGCTGCGCAAGCGCGAGGAGCAGTGACGTCACACGGCGCACAGCTGGCGCGCCGGAGCCGCCGCCGCCGCGCGCGCCTCGCCGGTCTGCGCATTCCAGATAGTGACGTCATAGCCGCGGCAGACGCACTGGCGTCGCCGCGTGCCCACCTGTGCGCCTCCGTTGCGCAGTAGCCAAGTCTGACGCTGCACCGGAGCCGCCTGATAGCGCCTTTCATTTTGTGCGCATAAGCGAGCTAAACCACCGCAATTTTTTTGTAGCGTGAGCTTCACTGGCCAAGGTTGAGCAGTTTCGCGTGGCTCCCAAAGAGCCGTGCTGCGCAAGCGCGAGGAGCAGTGACGTCACACGGCGCACAGCTGGCGCGCTAAAGCCGTCGCCGCCGCGCGCTCCGCCGCCGCGCGCGCCGGGCCGGTCTGCGCATTCCAGAGGGGTGACGTCATAGCCGCGGCAGACGCACTGGCGCCGCCGCGTGCCCAGCTGTGCGCCTCCGTTGCGCAGTAGCCAAGTCTGATGCTGCACCGGAGCCGCTTGATAGCGCCTCTCATTTTATGCGCATAAGCTCGAGCTACGTATATCCTGGCATAGCCGAGCCAAGCCACCGCAATTTTTTTTAATGCATTTGCTTCAGGCGTAATTGTGGATGCCTCAGTTATTTTCGGAAATGGTGGCTAATATTGGATAACGTGACTAAATAGTAGTTTTACTCTCGCTGACGAACTGTTTAACACAATAAACTTATAAGGCACTTCTTTATATCGATCTTATAGCCACCATTATACTTCACTTAAAGAAATGACTGGAGTGATAGGTCATACGCTCGAATTTATGGTGAGAGTTGTATATCCCTCTCAGTATGTCTTCAGAGTTCACAAGAGTGGGCGTACCAACCGGGGGGGCAAGGGGGGCACTTGCCCCCCCCCCCCCCTCCCCCCCCCCCCTTGAAACAGCCGCCACTGGGCAGGGCAAACACTGGCCGGCGGCGCCAGAGGGATACATCTTATCTTGAGGTAATGGATTACTACAGACAGTCGGTACTTTTTAGTAAATCATGAATGAGGTAGGAAATGCTTGCGAAATGTTCAGCCCTGCAGCAATTTGATTTGTAAGGGTGGGCCGTCTTTTCAACGATGCTCCCATGCGTGCGTCATTACGTACACGATGACTCACTACTGATAAAAATGCTATAATTTTCCAATCTACGATTCTTGGCAGGTTGTCGTTCGCCTGCAAGTGACAAAAAAATACGACACGAAATGTACAGCCCAAGAGCTGCAAATCCCTGTCAAGTCCCTGACTCCCCTCCTTCCCTTCATTTTCTGGAGATTAGTCAACACTAGCCAGAAGGAAAGCCCTAGCACCATATTTTCTACATCCATACTCAACGCTAGCGCAGGTCACAGGCTGGCCACGAGTGCTGTTTGGGTGTTTGGTTGGCACTCGTGCTTCGACCGACTGAACGCCGACGTAGCCCTCCGGTTGTGCCTGCGCTGGCGGTCAGCAGGTGCCATATCCAGCACTACGGCCATCTAGGTGGTGTTGGAATAGCTCCCAGACATTTGGGTGAGGAGGAAGAAAAGAAAAAGACCAGGCAGAAATTTTAGCCACACTAAAAATGACCTTGTAAACCAGGCGAAAACCAGTCCACATCCAGCTGGATTATGGAACTGGAAATGGAGCAGTCCAGCTGGATTCCAGCTGGCTCCAGTTGGGTCCAGCTGAAATCCAGCAGGAATCCAGCTGGAATCCAGCTGGACTGCCTCATTTCTAGTTCCAGAATCCAGCTGGAAGTGGAGTGATTTTCGCCTGGGAAGCCATCTTTGTAAGCTAGAACACGACAGCAGGACAACATTCCTACTCGCCACATGTTTTATTGTTTTGCTGTGAGTCATTGCTACAAACAGAGGCACATCGTGATGGCAGTATGTGTAGAAACGTAAATCACAGTTTCGACTGTCTCAAATACAACAGCTTCATTTTGGCTCCTGTCATTTTGCAGTACCATGCGCACCACCGACGCTTCTGGCAAGAAAGGAACAGACAAACTGCTTAGGGATAGTGGAGAAGGGCGAGAAGCGAGCAGAGAGCAATTAACACATACTTGGGTTGGCCTCTGAGGATGAATAAATTAAAAAGAAAAAAAAGATGAAGGGGGCTTTCCCTTTCCTACCACAAGCTTTCCCATTTACCAGCTCCAAAAAAAACAGAAAAAAAAAAGGCTACCCATGTGCTTGAATTTTAAGCAAAGCTGAATCAAAGTAAAGTCCTATACTCACTCGGCGAAGAAACTGACATAATGTACACATTTACAATCGTATACACGAAATGCAGAGCGAGCTGCTTCGAAGGCACTGATTGAAACCTTACAAGGAAGTTAGATCAAATGTTTAAAAGCAACAAGGAAAGGACTTTGAACAAAAATGTTCTTATCTCTAGTCAAATCAAATCTTTCAACCTAACAGCCACAACTTAAAAAAAAAAGTCTTGTTACTTTCTTTTCACTTTCCCTATCGCCTTTTCCTTGGTTTTCATGTTTAAGCACTTCTAGACACACAATTTTATTTGTTGATAGGTTATTGACATAGTGAAGCCATGCAGTATTGTCAAAGGTGAACAAGATAGTACAATTAGAGCTTTTCTCGATTTCAAAGAACTTTTAAAAACTATGCCACCGTAAAAGCGGAGACCCATCGTTCTAACACGCGAGACAGTCGGGTAAAAATGCCTTTCGTCTCTACCTCACTACCAGGCTTGGCTTGCAGAAATCCAAATAAACTTCAATTCAAAACAGCCAACTACACAATAGTAGGTAGTGCACTTCACAAAAAATGCCACCTATAGAGCTGGTTTTTGCAAACAATGGAGAAAATACCAGGATGACGATTGCTCGACCCAGGATAAGAGGAGAGAAGAACAGCAAAGCGGAATTGCAAGATGAGGACTGGGACAAACGTAATCGAGATAGAGGGATTCCCTCGAGACTAAGGTCCTGGAATAAGCCATCACCACCACCATCGCAAGTATGTCTACTCCTACTCAGGAAGACTAGAAGCCGCAAAAAATGTAAACAAAAACGCACTAATTAACCCCACACACCAAGAAAGCTCCGCAAACATGAGAGGATCAAAAAGTAGAAATGGCGGTTCGTGCTCAGAACAGCAACAGGGGGGTTGCTTGCTTCATTTCTCTCCGACAAAAACCCAAAACACACCCTCATTACCGTAGAAAGACCAGCAGGCCTACAAATAATACTCAAAACTGCGCTTGGTCTGGGGAAGAAAAACAAGAGATTAAGGGGCAGGAGGGGAACCTATGTACACACATGTAGCAAAATCCGGACTTTGGTACACTCGTCTGCGGAACAACAGTATTGAGACATGCCATCGGAAAGCTTCGTAGCAGCGACTGCATTTTGTACGCTAGGCTTGGAGGGAGGCAGCTTTACACACACCCACACTTTTTTTTTTTTGTCAAGGCACCAGCACGCCATAGATTCGTCAACGAGTGGTTACGGTTTCAACAACTTCTTTTAGAGTGTTGCCCATCTCGGTGACGAAATTGTCGGGGCACAGAGATGCTCCAACATCTCTTACACAGCCCTCCAAACAAACAAAGCGACACCCTCGTGGGAGCATCGACGAAGAAACCTAAGATACGCACTGCAATAACTTAAGCAATACCCCGAAATATCCGAGGCTTTCAGTTCTTTTTTTTTGCTCACATGCAAAACGAAAAATGGGGGGAGGGGATGTCACAGGGAAGGATGCACATGCTGCGGTACCAAATAATAAAAAAAAGAATGTCGATGCCATTGTTGACAGCACCGGGGGTTAAGGCACTGCGTCTTCTAGTAGACAATGCCGACGCGCTCGTCGACCAAAATCTCGTCCGTGAAGAGGATGCGCTTGCCGTTGATAGAAAGTCCATCGAGTCCAACCACTACGGACTCCACCTCCTGGACTTGGCGCACCGAGGCACTCCGACGCTCCACAGTCGTCATCGTGGTCTGGCTTCGCTGGCGGTCCACTAGCATCTGGCGGTCTACGAGCATCTGGCGCTTGAAGCGCGGGGTCACATTTATCTGGATCGTGCTCGTCTGATTCTTCTTCTGGTTGCCACCGACGGCGTTGGCTGTGCCGTTGGTGCAGTCCTTGAGGATGACCTTGAGAGGCGAGGGGGCCGGCGACTTGGGGGGAGGGGACAGCGGTAGCGGAGGCGGCTGGATGAGATCGTCGTCGTCGTCGTCCTCGTTCTCGTCATAGAAGCGGATCGGGGATGGGATCGGGGGTGGCTTGCACGCAGGCGCGTCGTCGCTGTCGTCGGACGCGGAGGAGTCTGAGCTCGCGGAGCAGGAGAAGGCCGGGGACTCCGATGGAGGGGACTGGACATGGCACATCAGTTTGGGGCTGGGCAGGCTGGGAAGGCTGGGGAGCTTGTTCGCCGCGAGCCAGGGGTGGTTCAGACCCTCCTTGACGCTCAGGCGCTTACTGGAAATGAAAAGAACAGGAGGCAGGGCTTAACATCTAAACCAACCACTTGAAACCACACCTCAATCTCTATAATAACTTTAAAACCCTCAGTTGTTAGTCGGCGCTTGTACCGTCCACTCCTTTCCCCCGTACGCACAACGTCACACTGTTTCAAGCATACCAGCCAGCCCAGTTATCCTGTCTCTTGAGTATGAGAACTGCAGGGAGATCCTTCAGTTTTCCCGCCCCCTGTGCCAGCTTCCTAGCTTCGGCAACTCTTCAGTGTCTTGTGAGCATTGAGTGTGCATGTGCATCACACTGGGAGGCCACAAGCACATGCTGGGGCCAAGCATACAAGAGATGCCCCACTGTTCTCGCCCCGTCAACGACTGTGGTACAAAAGCTTCACCAGAACAACTTTTGTGGCAATGCTTTCTTGCAGTAATTTGTTCCATACATAGTGAATTCATTGGCTAACCTAAAAAAACTTGAAAAAGCTGCCTTCTCGAAAGCTCAGAGTGAGAGCCGATGCTTCGATGAGAAAATCACTTCTCAAAGAGGCTAAGACACTTGTCGAAATGTCAGCTGCTTCTCTGAACGTGGGTTAAACATCAGTGTTTTCTTAGGAAAACCCACGGGTTATGACGAGATGCCAGGAAAGGTTGCAAGGGAACTGAGAGCCGCGCATATGTCCAATGCATTGTAGCGGAATGCAAGGAATGCAATGCAATGCAATGCAATGCAATGCAATGCAATGCAATGCAATGCAATGCAATGCAATGCCAATTGTCTGAACCTGTCTTGAGACTTCCAGAAGGCTGCTTTTCCAGTTCTTTCAACCAGTTTGGCGTTTTGAATAGACTAGTAGAAAAAATACAGAAAGATGCACTGGTGGATTCTTAGAGAACGTGTTAGCATGACCCTTGGAAATGCTGCACATGTCCAGCTTTGGGAAATGCTAACGCTGACCCCACAAGTTTTCTCTTTTCACTTGTTCTTCTGGCTTTCTCTTTTGCTTCCTCTATTTCTTTGATGCCTCTTTTTGGCTTCGTTACGGTGTCAGTGTTAGCGTTTCCCAAAGGGGGATGCGTGTGGGGTTTCCAAAGGGCCATGCTAATGCATTCCCTAAAAATCTACCAATGGATGTTCCTGTAATTTTTTTCATCCCTTTTCTGTACTATGCCTGTCAGAGTATGTCGACGCCCTTGGATAGGGTCGTCCATATCGCTCGTGGAAAGAACCACATCCGTACCACTTGTGGAATGAACCGCATCCAAATCACTCGTGGAGCGAACCACATCTATCTTTTTAACTACACACACACATCACAGCCCACGGGCCGCTACTACAGAAACTCAGAGCGAAGAACAACTGGTGACAGCAGGGTGGCAACTGAGCACGCCCGCATTCCACCACGCCACTGCGCAACACCTCCAAGATAATAAAGCTGTAGTGATGAGTGAGATGGCGTCATCAGAGAAGGCCAACGCTGGGCACAGACTGGACACGATTGCATCAACATTCGGCTCAAACTTCACTCGAAGCTGAGCGCTGATGCAGCTCTCGTTTCCAATCTGTGTCCAGTGTTGGCCTTCTTTGATGACATCATCTCAATCATCACTACAGCTTTGTTATCTAGGAGGTGTTCCGCTGCGCCTCCTCCTCTCTGGCTCTGCGTCAGCTGTGCGTGTGACTTCGACTAAAGCGAAAGGGCGCCAGTTTTGATTAAATCCAGCGTTGTCTGTCAGTTTGTCAGCGCCGAGAGAGAAGGAGAGGTTGACGCATGCTCACATTAGCGCTTTGGACCAATGGGAGTGTTTCACGCATCACCCTCTCCTTCTCCCTCTCTCCCTGGCACTGACAAACGAAAGACACCACCGGGTGTTCGTCAAAATGAGTGTTCTCATGCTAACGCATTAAAAAGCAATTGGTTCATGACACAACTGTCTCAAATATGAGCCATCTTAATCAATGTGGCAAACATCAAGGAACAGCTGCACTGGGATCTTGAAATTATTTTCCATGCGAAACTACCCGACAGAGAAGTATAGGTGAGGCTTAAGGTAGGAGTAAAGCCAAAAAGCTTCATCCAAATGCTATTCAAGACTTCAAAAAAATGATTTCTCGGTTCAATATTAGGCGCCTTTCTCTTTCTCGGCCAAGATACAGTGCGCTCTTCCGCTAATGCAGGTGCGATTAAATACCAGTGTGCTCGAGCATCTTTAGTGTTTATAGATACGTCGTATGTCACTTGTTCACTTTGTATAATATGTCAACCTATCCCGTGGCCATTGCTGTTTTGGTGCGCAGTTCCCAAGTTCAGTGGCAATTGAATTCAGTCTTATAACAAGCTCGGGTATTTGTCTGTGTTGCAAGATTGTCATAAAGAAAAATCCTACAGCCAATTTGTGAAAAAGAAATACTTATTAAATAAATACAGTATAAACCCATTATAAGGGACCTTGAAAGTGATGAAGATTTTGGTTTGTTGTAAAATGAATATGAAGAACATAAATACTCTTACTACAGACTTTGACATGGATTATGACTGGAGTCTGTCCTAACCAGTGAGACACACAAAACGTGAATGGATATTAGAAAAGACCTGGCTTATCAAAACTTCTCAACTTCTAAAGGTAGTAATTTTTTATAGAGCTGTACCTATGATCGTCCTCACTGCGCGCTTTTGGTCATACCAGGCTCTTGAAGCACCGAATGTGATGACAACGGTTCACGAAATGGGTGTCATCGCTACCGAACAAAAACCGCGTAATGATTAAAAAAATAACTGCTGTCAAAGAGTCTGCCCTAATGGAATTATGAAATACTTACAAAACTTCCCAATATAGTTCATTATATTCATATGTATATGTTATAACAAAATCTGTAATAAGCGAAGTTGGCTCAATGGCACAGATAGGAAGACTAACCACACTTCACAAGCCGGTATGTTGTAACCGAAAGTCTGCTGTAACCAGATCTGTTGTGACAAGGTTATACTGTACTGCACTTCAGGCAGGAAGGAAATCATTGGATGCAAGACTCCTCTAATGAGGAATGGTGTGCTCACACAGATCTGTGCATATTGACTAATTTTACCAAATATGCCTGCCCCGAAAGTACAAAAGACAACTATAGGCATTTGCATAGAAGCAAAACCTAGCTTTGACCTCCTGGCATGATAGGTCTCTTGGTACCTGCGTAAACGGACTACTTCGCCATGTCATCAACATAAAGAGAAAAAGAGAACCATAGAAGAAGAATACGACAAATACTGCTTCCCAACCGCCATAGCCACAGTCACCCCTGAAGAAGCAGAGTAGGCTTTAAAATGCTGGGCCCTTTAAATTATATACAAAATCTGGTTGAGATATGTATTGGTTTTATACCGCATTTACTTAAACATTGGCCTCACTATGATCAAACTCAACAGATTCCCCAAAGGTGCTGTTTGTGCTGTATATCTAGCACCCTGCATGGAAGTAAAGTACTTTGCCAAGCGTGCTAGGATTTCAGATTCTTGTACAGTCTAAGGGAATCTGAAATCCCTCAGGAAATTTGATGTTTTAGCACCATGTTTCAAGATTTAGATTCTAATTTTTTTTTTTAATAAACGAAAGATACATTTTGATGTTTAAAATAGATTACCCAATGAAGCAAATTTGTACCTCTTATCTAAATTGGTTACACATAGGTTGGCTGAAATTTGGCTGTCCCTGTCAAACTCATCTAGTACATAGCCATAGATGTACTTGGTACTGAGCTTTTTTATAGCAATAAAGCACCAAACAAAGTGGGGTCAAGGGGTCAATAATAGGTACAATGATATTTTTGAGCCCTCAGAGAGAAACCAGTTTTTATGGCTATCTAGAAAACATCTTTTTTTGTCTATATTTCATAACCCCAGGTTTGGACAGAAAAAAAAAAAGAAAGAAGTTATCTTTTATTATAAGTATGAACTAACTCGAAACAATGAGGTCTCTCTTTTGGATGTACTGAGACATGACCAATGAAACTGTCACAGAAGCACTGCTCTACATGGTGCTTTGGCAGCATGCACATGGCAGTGATGGAAGTGGCATATGACCTTGTGCATTAAGTTCTGTGGCAGGCAAAATATTGGTTTGGAGTAGCCACTGACACTTTTGGAGCAGAGGGCAACATCTGTTAACACATCATTTAAAAATGAAAAAGACTGCATCGCCAAATAAGCTCACCTATTATAAAGATTGTGGGTTTCTCTTTGATACTGGAGCATATTACCTAGTTTTTCTATAATAAAAATAAATTGGATGCAAAAGGAACACAGAGCCTTCTTTCTAGAAATAATGCTCAGGTCAGAGTTTACGTTCCATTTATAATAGGTATTGCAAAAATGGTCTAAAAATTAATCATAGCGCAACACTTAGTTGGGTAAAGCCTCTCTCCCATCCACCTTTTACACTGCAATTTATTTAGCTTGTAAATATAGTTTCTGTAAAATACAGCAAAACCCAGCATATCCGCTAGCACGTCTATCGATTTGCCCAACAATTTTTATGATCCCACCAAACTCAACACTCTAATATCACAGACTGCAAAAACAACCACCCACAAATATTATAAAAGCCTACACTGGTGCTTCAAAGGTGACACCCCTCTTTAGCGGTGTGGGAACCAGAGTTAAGTTAAAGTTTGCTGCTCTATTGACTAACAGCTGCATAGGAACTATCTTGACTACCATGTTTATTCAAGTACTAGAGACCTGTGTTTTTTTTTTCTGTTTTTCAAAATTAGTAGGCTTGTGCGAATAGTGGTTTGAATCAAATAGCGCTGCATCATTCATAGCTTTGACAATGCAAGGGAAAGCCAAGACGGCGGCTTATTTCGACAGTGCAAAAGCTAGGGATGGTATGCTGCGCTATTCGATTCGAACCACTATTTGCACAAGCCTGAGAATTGGAAATCAACCAACAATCAAGACCAAAGAAGGTCGACCTGTAATAATACTTACCATAATTTCCGTTCCTATCGTGCTAACCCAGGCACTCCCCCATGTCAGTCGCTGCTCATAGCACTCAGGTGCAAGGCAGTGAAGCTCGACTCGCGCACGCTGATGAGAGGTGGTCAAGATTGGCGGGAAAGGCACAAGTGCCACGGTACAATGTGACCATGGCACAGAGGCATGTGGCGGACATGATAATCAAGTTCTCTCAATCAGGAGTACAAGACCCTGGTTCTGGCTTATCAAAGTTTTCTCTCTAGTTTTAACTCCCAACATCGCCAACACTGTCTGGAAATTTAGACGATGTCAACGATCAACCGGTCAGCGCGGTTGACGAGCAATCTCTATACTTCGTTTCACCTCAAATCGAAGTGCAACCGAAGCTACGAGCCATAGGGATCAATCAAACAGCGTCAAAGCACGACATCATGGCAATCGTTGTCCTCCCGTTTGTGTTCTTTCATTGGCTAAACCAATCGAGTGCAGCGAATGTCTTGCAACTTGAACTTTTAGCATGAGCATTTGCAGTTGTGTGTTTTCAAGCATTCGACTGTGCTTCGACCTAAGCTGAAACAAACTATACGGTGAGTTGCGGCCCTGTGCAATACGAATTTGTACCATTTTCCTTTCCTTTACTCCTCTAAATATTAGGGATGACAAAATAATCAAATATTTTTATTTCTTGCTTTCTTTAAGCCTCTTTCCGAGCAGGTATGGCGCAACTCTTAGCAGAAAAAGGCATTTGGCACAAGATGGAGCATACTTTTGTCCGGGGAGAAATTTAGCACAAATGGCACAGCACTTGCATCACTGACGCGGTCAACACTCGAACCACCTAGTCCGTCAATTTAATTCTAGGACTGACAACACTCTGCCCTTGGCACGGGAGCCAATGCTAAAAGATATAGATTGTCGAATGCCCAGGAGTGTTATCTATGCGTATGCAAAGGTAGATCCTGTTCGGACATGTCTTCTGGTCTGTGTGGCGTCTTGCGCGAGACAGCTTGCATGAAGTCTTGTTTGGCCCCCGACTCCTATGGCAATGCCTCCGCAAATTTGGAGTTGCTTGTGAAGTCATTTCTGATGGAAAAGGGTGTGGCTTAGCTCGAATATCCTACTTAGTACTCCGCAAATCTGGACCCAGCTGATTTCATGCTTTTCCCCCCACCCAAAGATAGCTCTGAAATCAATATGTATCCAGGGCGTTCGGGACAACCGAGCTCTACGACAGTGGAACTTGCAGGGGTTACATCCGACGTGTTCAAACGAGATGTTCGCGATTTACACCAGCGATACACAAGAAAGCCCGGAGAAGATTGCCTGGAAGAAAGTAAATCTAATTTCTCTAGCAAATATATGCTTCGAGACTTATTCAACCAGTCCAGGAACTCAAGCAACACGACCGCATACCGTACATTTCAGCAGTACTAAGGCAACCATCACATTAGAAGAGAGACAGGACAAAGGCACTTCCCTAGTAAATACAGTGACAATAAGATAGAACACAAACCTTGCGTCCCTGACGATGAGACGCCTAACAAAATCTTTGGCTGCACTGGACACGTGTCCAAAGAGATCCTCGGGAAAGTCCAGACTGCCAGCTGTGATGTTGCAGAAGGTCTCCTGCTTTGTGTCCCCTCCAAACGGGGAGTGCCCCGACAACAGGACATAGGTCAGGACACCAAGGCTCCTGCAAAAGTAAGGTTGTGTTAGAAAATGACAAACAGGTTCTATGCAGCCATGAGCAGTGTGCAGCTTTAGTCATGAGCATGGCAGTATATTTGCATGTTTTGTTTGTTCACAATTTATTTTGTCATAGCAACAGCTTTTACTGTAGCGGAATTCGTGTGTAGATTGATAGGTGCACTTTATCAGATATTCCCTCAAATGCATCCATAATTTGGATATCTAGTGAAATTAAATCAATAGCACCCCATGGGTAGTTAGTTGACTTCTCCGCAATTTTAGTTTATACATTTGTTTACATCTTCAAAACAGATCACTCGTCCTTCAAAACCAAAGAAGCCAGTGGATGTGAGGTATGATGGAGTGCACCACTGGCCTCAAAACTGTGAGAAGAATGACCGGCACAAATATTACAAATTCGGTTATGCCTTTCTTTACAGTGAAAATTTCGAAATGCGCCTGGGCCTTTTTTCACGTCGTAACTGCTTTCATTCGTTCGACATGAAGTAGTGCTGCAAATGTCCAATGTTGCTCACAAGCAACATTTCGAAAACATGCTTACGAAAAAAAGTAATTCTTTTCCGAGACTGAATTTCTGTTATTCTGTCTGTTCTAAAACCATGCCAAGGTTTTTAGGTCGCTAGTATTTCAAGTAAAGTTTTGGGAACAGAAGTGTTGAAGTAGTTATTTATTAACATATATTTTCTAGGGGTGTGCGAATAGTGGTTCGAATCGAATAGCGCAGCGTCATCCCTAGCTTCTGCATTGCTGAAAGAATCGGCCGTCTTGAATTTCCCCTGCATTGAATGACGCAGCGCTATTCGATTCGGACCACCTATTCGCACAACCCTAATATTTTCCCACAAAAACACAAGCATTTTAGGAACAAAGCTTACATGTCTATATCATCACGAATTGCAAAAAGATTTTATCTTTGCCATTTAGTGAAGGAGACCAGTGAATGAGGAGGCACCCATCATACTTTGACTAATACCCCATTCACACGGTCAGCATAAAGGTACTTTTAACATAGGTGCCTCTGCTATCGGCGAATCAGCCCGTGCTCTTGTGTCGCGAGCACACGCCACGCGCGGAAGATCGTGAATTGATGGGCCGCAGGGAATAAAGGTCCCTTAGCTAAAGGTACCTTTGCGGTTGTGTGAATGGGGTATAACTCTATGGTCTGTGCCAAGCAATAAGCATGGCAATGCCAAGCCCAGAATTCCAAAGCAGAGTGCATTTTCAAGCCTCAACATTATCGGTGCCTCGTCACTTGCTGAAGAGCAAGGGTCCAAAATACTCTGCAGAAAAGTGGATCTATGGGCATTGTTCCAATAAAGCACATACTATTGCAGGAAAATTTAAGAAAGCAGTGCACCTTGCCATGCCCATGCCATGTTAGAAGTTTACAGTCATTATAGAACTGCCAAGTTCCATTGAAGAGTCAGGTCCCAGTTGCTTATTGAGTACTTAGTACTTTCAACCTATACCTTAAAATCCCATATGAACGCCAACTCCCGAGAAATCGCCCATCCCGCTTTTCTCGTTAAATATCTATAGCAGAAAAATTCCAAAACAATGCAGACACCTGATTTCCATTATACAAAACGGGACCTCCGACGGGAATCAGATCAACCGCATGATCTGTGAATATAGTATGTGTGACGGACGAGCTTATAGCGGGTTCAAGCGTTTTTGTCCGCGATCGGCGCGCGCGATAACGGTCCCCGTAACACGCTAGTTATGCTCGCGTGTTTATTTCATCGTGAAGTGTGAGCTTGCTGCGTCCGCGACCTGGGGCTCTAAACTCGCCAAACACAAAGTTGGGGCCGATGTTCACGGAGCGCACCGATTGGACTACCACGATGATGACTTCGCACTTTTGTCACCAGCGCGTGCGATCAGCACGCTCCGCCAACTTTCGGTTCCAACTTAGTGTTTGACGAGTTTAGGGCCCCTGCTGTATCCGTTCCCGTGACAAGCGAGTTCGTTGGGGGTCCCAGTGTTTTTGTCCGGGATCTGCGCGCGCGATATCGGTTCCCATGACACGCAAGCTTGTAGCGGGTTTCCGCGGGTTTCCTGCACCGTGAAGCCCAAATCTGCTGCATCCGCAATCTACGGTATCTATTCCCATGACGTGCGAGTTCGCGGCGGGTTCCCGCGTGTCCTTCGGGCCGCGAGACGCGTATCTGCTACGTCCACAATCTGGCGTATCTTTACCCGTGACACAGGTGTTCGTAGCGCATCCCCGCGTGTCTATCCAACCGTGAAACGCGAATTTGCCGCGTCCGTGATATCAGTTCGATATCAGTTTCCATGTCATGAGGTTTGCAAGCGGGAGCCCCGGTGTTTATCGCCAACTTTTTTGTACATATTTGCTGTCCATCCCCATGTTTTTCATCATTTATCTCTTCATTTTGAGTGGGCGTTTTTACGTTCGTACGGGATTTTACGGTACTCACTATCTTGAATGAAGCATCTTAGAAAATCACGATTGGGTTTTCCAGCGACAAATTTTGTATATGCAAGCAAGCATTTGTAGTTTGGACGAGACCATGGTACTTCGTGGTACCCAAAAAAGTAAAAACTAGGGTGCCTACATCTTTCCGCCGCTCCGCGGAGCGAAAACATGTAGGCACCCTAGTAAAAACCAGGAGGAAGTTAAAGATTATCAATGGGAATCAAACCTTCACTTAACAGTGTTTTGCCGTGCTTAGAAAGGCGCGGAAATCAGCTCAGTTTAAAACAACCACAAAGTGATATGGGTTTGCCCCACTGAGGTGGCAACTCTTTTTGTGGTTGCTAATGTTACTGTTTGGGCTCAGCCTGTTACACTCGTATCTTATAACGATATATAAAACAACAATAATTTGCCCTCCTCGGCCAGTCCCAATTCGGATCGACGACATCCAGAGTCATCCGTCAAGACGGCTGATAAGGATACCATGTATGCCAACGCCACGGCCAAACACACGATCTCCAACACCATGGCAATTCGCTCAAGCGAAAGAGTCAACAGACAGCATCGAGTCAATGCCATTCTCACTGCAAACACTCTGCAAGCCAGAGACTTCCAAGGAAAGAATCACGGCTACCACTGTGGCCACGCTATTTTACACTTTTCAAACGAGGCCGTGCCCCATCTTGTTAAGTAGGGTCCCGAAGACAACGCTACCATTCAAACTCATTTCTCCTCTTCCCATTCATTCACTATGGCTCTTCTTTCAGAAGGGAATGAAAGAGAAAGACAAGACAATTTTGTTTTATGTCGACCTCAACCACTGTACAAAGAAGCTATAGCCTCTCTGACTGCTTGTGTATTCAAGTGCAATGACAGAAATCAATCTTAGGAGCTTCTGTCTGCACACTAAAAGCTGGCCAAATGATGATTATGCACCATCTATACAACAATCTGGAAGGCCAAGTCTTGGTGTTTTGCCAAGTGCTTTGAATATCAATGACACATCTTTCGCAAGAAGAAACCATGACTAGACTGTGAGACATAATGCTGCAACTAACGTTCATTAAAGAGGAAAATGAAAAAGTAAGAAAATGTCCATCCAGTAAACCCTCTTCAAAGTTCCAGGAGACAAAAAAAGAAAGAAAGCAGAGAGTAAACTATGCACAAGACTACATATAAGTAGACAGAAATGCAAAGTCTTTCTGTCTACTTTGTGCATGGAACCACCGGACCAATGATGCAAATCTCATAAATTATAATTATGAACACCGCGCCCCTTCATCGGGGTAAACCTCCGAAGTATGAACATGACTACATCATTACTCACCAAATGTCAGTGGCGAGAGAAATGGGCTCAAACTGAAGCACTTCCGGGGCTGCAAGAGAAAAAAACAAAACAAACCCTGCATCAGAACACAGGCCATACATTTCACCAAACTCAATAATTGGCATCTGACAACGAGCCCAACAAAAATAAATAAATAAATAATAATAAATAAATAATGATAGCTAAAAATGAAAAAGACCCGTTAACTACAAACTGCCAGAAGGAAGGAGGGAAGGCCTCAGATGGCCCCTTCCAGAAAGCCCCCTTCTCGGACGAGGAGCCCCCACGGCGCCAAGGTCCCGCGTGGGCAGCAGAAACGCGTCGTCTCTCTGCCCGCCCGTCTTGTGTCAGGAAATCCGCGGCGAGCCCTTGAGACGGCGCAATTACTGGGCCGTAATTCCGGCCAAAATTGGCGGCGACTTCGCGCCCACGTGATGCCGCCGCACAAGGCCTCCCTGCCCCGCTCCAGTGTGCGAGCCGTACTCCGTTCGCCCCAAAAGCTGACAGTGCGGCGCAAGCTATACGCTCGCCGGACCAATCAACAGCCTTCTTTTCATCACCTGAACCGATATTCAGGTATGGGCGACGGCGTGATCACGTAGCAAAAGGCAGGCGCACGACTGGTCCGACGAGCAACGTAGCTTTCACCGCACTGTCAGCTTAGGGGCGCTTTTTCACCCGAGGTAATCGAGGACGTATCTTTTCTCTCCCGAAGCCTCGTCGTCTGTCGAGATAAAAATAGCGGCGAGTTCTTTTCGAAGCCCGGATTTTTCGATTGCCGATACGATATGCGACAGGCCATACTTATACAACGGCCCGAAATAAATGAGTCGGCATATTTCTTTTAACTAAAACCACGCGCTAGCGCCGACATCGTAGCTGTGCCAAGATTGCGCGGTTGTATACTCCGCTCACCGCCAAGCTGACAGTGCAGTGGGAGCTACGAGCTCGCCTGACCAATCAACCGCACTCCCTTTCATCACCTGACAACGCTCTCAGGCGTCGGTATCAACCAGGTAGAGTGGCTTAGATCGATGAACTGGTATCCCGTTCACCAGGCAAAACTGCCCCCCACCCCCGCGCGCTGTGTTGCACAATTTTGACCAGTAGACACGTGACCGTACCAAATCTGGACGCTTTTACGCAAAACTGAGCCAAATTTGTATTGAGATCGCTAAAAAAAAATTAAATAAAATAAACTTTTTTACTACTGTTAGCCCCAGAGATGAGTGTCTAGCTCCGATAAAAACCGAAATACAGCACCGCGGCTGCCGGCATCTAGTGAAGGCATTCCGAAAAAAGAAATTACGGATTCTTTTATGTTATTCGTAAAACGATTTGAAAGCCCAAGCGCCGATGCATTAAAGACAGACACATGATTTACTTTGTTTCACGCTCTTTTTTATCACATTATTCGCTATATTATCCTACTTAATTCCCATTGATTACTCTTACTTCTCTATAATTCCTCTTAATTCATTTTCATTCCTTTTAATTCCCTTTAATTCCTCTTAATTCGCATGATTCCTCTTAATTCGCTTTGTCATCCTTCTTAATTTCATTGCCTCCAATTCGCCTTAGTAGTCACGTAAGCGTTTTGGTACCTCCCGTGTCGCCGACGTGTTTTCGCTCAAGGACTTTGGAGGTAGACTGAACGATGAGACATATAAGGCTTTCACCTTAATAAGCAATTATTCGTGCGCGGTGCTTCGTTAAAATCTAGGTGCGCGTTTATCGCTCTAAGTCCCTCTACCTCGTTGGTCGGTATAGGGTGGGAGCGTGATCACGTGGACAAAGGTCGACGTATAATTGGTTCAAGGATCACGTAGCTCCCAGCTCATTGTCAGCCGACGGGTGAACCGAGTAGACGGTGCTTTCACCGGCGTCGTGAATCGAGGGAGCGAAATGTTAGGGTCAGAGACAGTTGTCGATTATGTTCCCGACTCTCGGTTCGCGATCTTATCGGCTCGTGCGAAAAATGCCGAATCACTAGACTGGACACGCACGAACGGCGTTGGATATTGAGCAGAAAAGAGAAGCATATGCTTCGAACGCTTTGTAATGCTTTGCTTCGTAAAGGGCAAATAGACGAAAAGGTGGTCTACAAACAGTGGGAATCACGCCCTGCTTAACTAGAAACAGGTCCATATAAACTCATCCGTCACGATACAAAGAATGTATAAAGAAGCGCGACGGGTTGTCTTACACATGACGAATCGCACTATAGGGATTGCAGCAGCCTACACGAACGAAAGCCTCCCGTGTCAACAAGTCCTAAAGAGGCATCGGTTCGCAAGACGCTTGCACGGAACGCTCGATGAACGAGGGCGCCTTCCGTGAGTCGCGTCGCGTACGTAGCAGGCGGGACAGATAGGGTTACGGAAACACCCGGGCTCGGATGAGTGTTGATCGCGTGGTTGGTTGGCGTGCGTTCTTCGAGAGAGGGAGACGACGACGACGCGACGTGCCTGGACGTCACGTAAGTCCGACTCCCGAAGACGACGAAGGCGTCACGGACGGCGGCGTCGAGCGACAACAAGACGGACGTCGTGACCGTGCCAACAGCGCGCTCCGCGCGAAGGAAGTAAACAGCCGAGACACTCACTTCCTATCAAAGACCAGCCTTGTCGTAGGAGGATATCCGACCCGGAGGGGGGTCCACGCGTATCTCGACGCGGTTGCAGTCTTACACGCGTCCCGGCACGTAGCAAGCTACACGCGCGTCTTTGTACTTCGAGTGGTATGATGTATATTCGTTTCTTCTTATACGTCGGTCGAGTGAAAGATCGACGCACGATCGGTCCATAATTGCAAGCTCAATCGGCCGGTTTTTGGCCCATTGTGTTCTGTCATGGTCCCTTTCAGCTGTCACGTTACAGCTGCAAACTGGTATCCGAGACCCTCTTTCTTAACATAGAACATTCAAATAATCGTTTTCTGGGAGCCGCCATCTTGGTCTACTGGGCTGTGGAACGCGTTCTGCGCGTGCGCAGTCGCTCTGTTCCGCGGGATACCAGACGCACGCGCACGCGACAACAGTCCGGTGACCTGCTATTTGTCGCCTCGGTGTTAAACGACGAAAAGGTGTAGAGGCGGCACTTTTTCAGACACTAAACGAAATGAGAAAGAAAAAGAAGAACAGCATGAATGGGCTGTTCGCGCGAAGTATGTCGCGAAGGCAACCAAGCAGGAGAGCCAACCGAAGACGTGCACGTGCTCAGATGTCGGCACAGTCGCATTACGACGACACGTATGTGCAAATCCTCAATACTTTTTTTTTTTTTTTTCTTATAAGTAATAACAGAAGGAACGTTGATTCTCGAGTCGGTCCTGACAAACGCAGGGAGAGCTGAGGCGAAATCCAGGCCCCAACGAACATGGCGCGGAAGGATATCGGGCGGGTGAAGAACCAAGTTGCTCCGTCTCCATCACGTGCCCGTCGCCTTCCGCCGGGCTTTGGCTAGGCGTGCAACCAAGTGTTATCAGATACAGAAAGCTCACAATTATAATGCAATTAAATGCAAGGGTGCAAGCCAGCTGGACAAGAATGACGAAAGTAATCCCTGGAGATTGTCCTTGTTTGCCCTTTGTCCCTCTTGTTCCCCTTCTCCAGGGATTACTTTCGTCATTCTTGTCCAGCTCGCTTGCACCTTTGCATTTAATTGCATTATAATTATAACCTTAAATTGCAAGCTTCACCCTTGTTGGTGTTCGACTCGTGGCAGCCGATAAAACCCGTTTGCTCTACTGACGTCTAACCCCTGGTTAGCTCAGTTGGTAGAGCGCTCCACTTGTAATGGAGAGGTCCCGGGTTCGATACCCGGACCAGGCGGATTTTTTCGGTCGCTCACCAGTCACCTAGCTGTGTTTGGAGATTTATGTTTGTCCTTTGTCCCTCTTGTTCCCCTTCTCCAGGGATTACTTTCGTCAGAAAGCTCACGTTCGAGGCGGAGCACACCGGGTTCTTAACCTCTCCCCGGCTATAAAAATAAGCAGCTAAAGCAAGTTTTAACGCATCCAGGCGTTCGTCGGCGCTCATTACCATCAGTAAGCGGTTATCCTAACAAAATGCTATAGCCTCGGTCGCTGAACGCGAGGGCATCACGAAGCAAGGCCAATATTTAAATGTGGACCGGAAACCCATCGAGCAGTCACTCGTGCGGTGTCCACAGATGCTAGCAGGCTGCGACGTAAAAATCAGTCCATCTTTCGATCGAGACGAAGGTCCTGAATCTTTCCTTTGCTCAACGAGCCCGTTTTCCTCTGGAGCACTTCAAATGGCCTGCTCTTTTTGCTTTTCTTTTTTTTTTTAAATTTAATTATTTATTATATTTTTTTTCCCGTGGCGATCGAGGGTACACGCTCGGCCTTTCCGAGACTCGCGCTGCGTGCCGCTTCCTCACCGACGTAGTCTGGAGTGCCAACGATCTCCCTGATCTCGGTGCCCTTGCCGATCACTCTGGAAATCCCGAAGTCGCACAGCAAGATGTCGCCCTGGGGGAACGCCGACGTCAGCAGCAGGTTTTGAGGCTGGTGGAAAGAAGAAGAGCGCGAGGCGGGATCAGGATGGAGCGCCATCAAAGGTCGCCTGTCCAAGGATTCCCTGCAGCGTTCGGTTTCTGGATGAACAATCGCGCATCAACGGCAACTATCGATTTTGCCAAACAATTATTATATTAAGCCACTTTAATGAGTGCACAAATAACAACTGAATTTTATTTTACCTTTTGACTGTAACCATGATTCCCTTTAATGCCTCGGACCATCGAGGTGTAATTGGTTGACTCGAATGCTTTTATTGTCTGGACGATGGCTCGATGGCCAAGTTATTGGGAAAGGGAGCGGGAAAAGAAAGGTAGAATAAACGTGTAAGATGTCAGTGATTCGATTGACCCGAGTCATTTCGTAGCACCTTTTAGAGCAGCCGAAAGTCCATTATGGAGGAGCAAAAATTACTTTTGGAGCACCAACACACACTTCATTTTTATTCATACCAATGTGAATACTATATGTTAAGATTTGTGTGTTGACATCCAACTAAAAAAAAAAAAACGTTCATATTTTGCCTTCACACTTTTGTGCACAGGTTTGATTTCCTTAAAGGCAAAACTAACTATTTAGTTGCACAGAGAAGAATGGCAACAACGTGCTGCTCGATGAAGGGCATAATGAACTGCTGTGAATGGTCCTTTTAGGTACAAAATAAATGTAAACCAAATAGTATATTCCACTAAAATAATGTTACAATAATCTTGAGCACACAAATTGATGGTTCATTCAAGTTCTAGAAATTGTAATAAAACAAACATTCTTAATTCAGATTAAAAAAAATACCTTTGTTATAAAATAATGAAAATTATTGAAATTTTGTATGTATAACCTCACAATAACAGAGATCGGCATGTAAACGATAAGTATTCCTTTTTAAATCAATCCAGCCAAAGTATTTCAGGTTATTTCCAAGCTATCTTCTACTGCCTCACCTAACTTAGTTTTGGTTTATTCTATTGACGACACCTGAACCGATAAAATATACATAAAGGTGACAGCTAAAGAACGGAGTTCAAATGAAAATAAACCTATAGGGCAATTCATATAAATTTTCTAGCGAGCACCCTCGTTAAATCACCAACTTAAAAAAAAATATATCGCTAGAATACCGCAGTCTATCATAAATAATAGCCAAAGTATAATTCAGAATTTTTTACAACTAAAAACTGTACTGCTCACTTTTTGTTTGAATATATTTGACGCTTGCGTGTTTAACGTCTCGCTCTGGGGGACTGCTTTCCCTTTAGCACTCGGGTGCACGGCGGTGAAGCGAGATAGGCAAAATTGCGAAGCTTACTTCGCGGTTATCGCTTCACCGCACTACACAAGAGTGCCGTGAGAAGCGCACTCAACAAAGCTAACTTACACGCCAGAGCAGACTAGAACATAAGATACTGATTGCGGAAATTCCGAGTACTATCAGTGTATTGACGCTGACAGAGAGATCAAATAGGATAGTAAGTTATTTTGCGGCTAGATCGAAAGTTCTGAAAATTCTCACGGTCCTACCATAACGATCCGGACGCGTAGCGGAGCCTGAGCCACAATATTTTCAGTATTTCCTCAAGTGAAATCAAGTTTTGGCGCCATGTTGGCGCAAGTTCCTCACATTTGGGCTAAATGTTGCAGAAGGTAGCAGGGCAAGCCTTTTGGTGCAGGTTGATGCAAATGGCGCAGCAATCATATCACTGAGATGATATCTTAAGTGTACTGCCATTGCGAGAAAACACGGATTGCAAATGGCTGACGCGGAGTATAAGCTGTGACGTCACGTATAGTCAGCGAAGTTCGAGGGAACTAAAAGAGGCAGCGTGCGCAAACAGGGCGGTCGCATCGTAGAAGAGAAGAAAGCGCCCTTTAGACGTAAAGGTTCCCTCGCTCCATTTTTTTTTCCTTTCAGGAAGCCATTTGCCAGTTTGGCGCCTGCGCACGTGACCCAGAGTCCAAAACACGGGGGCTTTGAAGAAGAGCACGTGCATGCAAGCAGCAGCATCGTGTATTATGATCTCGGTCGCTCGTACTGCGGGAGCTGCAGCGATCGGACATCGCCCTAAAGAGAGCGGCGCCTACAAACAAACAACACTGGGGGTACACGAGCAAAATTACCAGACGAGCTGCGGTACGGAAAAGTTTTTAAGATATTCCAGGAAAAAAACACGCTCGATTGCGTTTTACGAAGGCTCATTAATCAAAACAGCACGCGGAAGATTATTGCGCATCGGCGTGCATGCATGGTTCGCCTATTTCCGCGCATCGTGCGTTTGTTTACTCGCCAATACCGCTCCCGTGATTTCGCTTCTCCACGACCCTCGGCAATGAAGGCGCGGACTTGGCAGATTCGTCATCGCGCTCTTCACGTGCGCGTTCTTTGTGCGGCCCTATGATCGGCGTGCCCTTCCCTGCGTTATTGCTGCCCGACAGTTCATCCTGTCCTCGAGTCTGCGGGTGACGTCCCAAAAGCTCCGTATCCACACGGATTAGGTAACGCGGAGACCGAAACGACTTGGCCTTTACGTTTGTTGCGTTACGAATGGGAGACACTTTCAGCGGAGACCGACCTTTAGAAGTCTCACACACGGCTCCGACGTCCAGGACAATAAAAACTCGCTCGGCTCGCCCGCGCGCTTTCCTCTTGTCCGAACGCGACCGGCGACACTCCGAGGGAGGAGCTTTTACGACGAGTTACCGATAACGACGTCAGCTCTTAACGGTTTCGGGTTTCAAAGAAAGCGCCGCACTTTCGAGAAAGAAATAAGACCCCGAGAAGAGAACGCGCACAGAGCGTTGTAAATCAACAGCACCGAGATCTGAAGCATTCGTCCGAGCCGTGGTCCACCGCGGTTTTGTGACAATCAAAGCGCGCGCGCCATTTCGACGAAGTCTCTACTCCGTTTCATCTTATACGATGGACCGCAGCGGACGCTACAAGCCGTTCTCAGCCAATCCAATGCCGCGCGAGTGTCACGTGACTTCCGAAAAGGGGGCGCGCGCGTATAGTCACGTGTTACGTTCACAGTGCTTGATTGGCTGGGATGGCTCGTAGTAGCGTTATACTGAAGTTGAACGTAAAGTACAACGGAGCATAAAGGTGTACGATGTGTCCTTTTGGACAAAGAAAAAGAGATGGCACGAAAGAAAAAAAGGAGGAGAAGAAAGAAGGACGAGGGGGAGGAGAGGAAGTTATAAAACCATAAAACGCGCGAGCTTTTAGGAGAGCCTCGACGTATCGAGATATCGAGCTCACTGGGTGGGCCTCTCGGAGTCGGCCGAGGAAAGAGGGGTCGACGGAGAAAAAAGGCAAACACGGGAGGATTACAAGCAGCGATGGGTTCCGAATGTCACGGGGGTCGAAGGAAAGTTCAGTGGCCCCCTCTGTGGCTAAGACACCGACTGCAAGCAGCCGCGCTTCGAGAGCTAGTCTGAAAACCGTGGGTACGCCTCAGCAACGCTTGACTATCAGATGATATACCCGCACAAGTAACAAGATGGCGGCGCCCAGGGGCCACGCTTGCAAACGTCTATACAGGGTATTTCACGCAAGTTGAGCCAAGGTTTAAAAATATTTTGGTGCATTTTAGGAAGACGAAACCAAAGAAAGAAGCAAGTTGTTTAGACCAAGTCAGGCTATTTTTGTGCTCTGCCAAATTAACTAATTAATTAAGATCAATTAATTAACTTTTGAAATATTCAATTTAGAGCAAAAGTTTCAAAGACAAAGTTGAAGAGCGTCCTCAGGAACATTCAATTCAGTGGCATTTATCAAGAAACCTCTAACACTGTTCCTTTTCCTGGGTTAAAAAAAAAGAAAAGCCCGCAAATTACGAAAAAAAACTTGTGACTTTGTGCTTAAAAGTCTTGTATTGCAGGGCTCTCAGTCGTGGCTTGAATAAACTAGGATCGAGTGCGGAGTAGAACACTGTTGACAGGGCGCTGTTAAAATATTCGCGTTTTTTTTTTCTTTTTTATAATTTTCTAGGTTTTTTTAAGGTTCCCTATGGCGCAACGTTTTTCGGTGTCGGTTTTTCGTTACAGCCAAACGTTTCAAAACTTCATGTATAAATCGGCAGATAAAACACGTTTTGTGTTAGTAGGGAAACATACGATTAAGCATACACTTTAGGAAAGGAAAACGGCGATGTTAACGTATCAGGTGGAATGGGGTGACCAGTTCAACACGGTGGTGCATGCCACGAGTGAACTGTCTCAGCCAGGGCACCAAGGAACTTCCTTAAACTTGCCGGACTCTGTTTCATTAAAACTGTCCGACCTTACACAGGTGCAAGGACATGTATCATCGTAAATCGGATTCGATTCGATGAAAGAGGAATCCAACGACAGAATACGCACATGTCCAAACGCATGTGAAAAACTGTCACGACTTGTTGTTGGAAATGCTCCGGGGGAGGTATCTCAAGGGTGATTATAACAGGCAAACTCAGATCGCTTCTTATATACGAGCATTAAAGGTGCCTATTGTGCGCTCTCACGCTTGGGAGTTGGCTATGACGATTCGGTCAGCCTTCCCAGCTGGAAAGTTGGATAGTCAATATAATTCAAAAGTCACGCTGTTGGTCACGCCGAAACCTGCAAACGCAAGGCTCAGGTCTCCAAAAGATGTACACGTGCTCTTTCATCGCTTTGGATGAAAGCGATAAATGGCGAAGAAACGCGTAACAAATAACAATACTGATAATCGCGGCAGTCACCAGATTCTTCGGCAGTGAAAGCGTGGATGCGAACAGCTGTACGTGGTGTACCGGCATCTAAGAGAGATCTAAACGACGCCGTCGACGACCCAGAAAGATAAATTGCCGTTAAATGAGGCCTTTTCCCTTTCCTCAACATTTATTGGACATATAAAACCAAGGCCTTAAAAAAAAAAATAAAATAAACGTATAGTGCAGCACAAGAAGAAAAGCGAACAAGTCTCACACTCGCTGAATTGAACCATTCACCGCTCGTGACAAACTGTATACGACTCAACGACTTCACGCGCTCTCGCTACGAACAGACCTCAAGGTTCCAAATTGCCCACAAAGGCGGCGAAGTCGGTCACCTATTCCACTCTCGCCGAAGGGGTTCTCGCCGACCGTCGTCAGCGTCTCAAAAATGCGCGTCGAAAGGAGCCGCCGCCACAGGTACTAACAAAAAAAAATAAATAAAAGGGACCAGCGCAAAAGCTGAATAAAGAAGACAGTCCACAACTAAGAGCAGATTGGAGCGATTAAAGAGGTGACCAAGAAAAGAAGAAAGAAATGCTGTTAGCCGAGTCTAAGGTGTATAGTTCTTTCGCTAAGAGTACCTCAAGGGGAGGCCCCGCTTTTTAATAAATGGCATCATAAATCAGCACCGTCGTCTCCATTCTCCGAGAGGTCTCGGCGCAACTCTTTCGCGTCGCATAGCTATAGATCGTCGTCTCGCTCTCGTCGTCCTCGTCGCTTCATTTTCTTCTCTTCGAGGCTCTCGCGTTACGCTGTTAAGTTGTTATTCTTGCTTCTGTTGTTGTCCACCTTCACACCAAGGTGTAATGCAGCCTTAAAAAAATAAACGCGATTTAAAAACATATTGGTGTCAGGAAAGTGGGACGCATTCGCTTCGTTGGCGACCAGGGGATATCAGGGGAGAAGCCGCGCGTACTTGGCTTTTTGACTCTGACTTTGGATTGGCCGCCGGCTGTTTTTCTCGATGCGTGACAGCCAGCGGCAGGCAAGTAATGAGGAGAAAACGAGAAAACCAAGTCGGTGGTTCGGTGAGTGTACGCGGCAGGACCCTTTTAATCGGGCGGCGGCTCACGAGCCGAATACCTGGTCTCTCTCATTCTGTAGAGTTAACATCTATGTAATAGAGAAAATATTGAGGTTGAGCCTTTCAATAGTAATGCTCCTAAATGTGCGAATGAAAACTGGCGCGACCTGGAGGCGAAAGCGGGAAACGGACAGCGTGTTTGGAAAACCGTGTTGTTTGAGCTGCGAATACAGAGTACGTTATACGGAGAGGGCAATGAGAGCGGAGAAAGGGGGAAGGGGGGGGGGGGTGGATTGACACAGCACGAGGAGTTGAGATATTTGCAATCTACTACCAACGGCCGTATTGCGACTTCGGGCGGACATATCACCAGAATCAAAATAGTGTTTTATATCTAAAAGTTCACAGACATGCCACGGAATGTGCTATCTTGGAGAGGTATGAATTAACCCTAAAATCACTAAATCGCCGATTGTCAGTACAGTACTTCGAAACAAACGGAGAGCAAAGCCAGAAAGAACTAGAGAAGCAGATCCCTGAACTATTTGAAAGAGCGTAACCGTAATGAAATGTGACGGCAATGAAGCAGACTCGTAGCAATAACAAGGAAACCCGTCAGCCTTGTTCAGTTACGTCGCGTCCTTGTCGGGAACGCGTCAGCCGGCCTCTAACTTCCCGGGTCCGCGCTCGTCACAGGTCGTCGACGGGGAAGCGACGGGCGCCCACCTACGCCGCACCACCGTAACGATCACCGCAATCAGCGAAGAATGCCCCTGGCGTCAACGGGGCCCGATGACGCATCGAAGCAGCACAGCAAAGCGTTTCGTGCTTTATCTTTAAGCAGAACGCTTTCATGGGCCTGTCTCTAAGGCTATACGGCATTACGAAGAGCTGTAACCAAATCATAACACGGCCTACGACGATCAGGTGGTTGGTGCCACTACGGGTTACGTGACCTCGGGACGTGACGTCACGGTACTGAAAAATAGCAATCCAACCTTTATCCGTTTTTTTTTCTCCTTCGGACGTTTCCTATGTCCACTACCGCGGAGCCTCGTCCTTCTGTCGCCCATTGTTAGGAAGTAGAAAGGTGTTTTGAAGGAAGGGATAAAGGCAGCAATAAACAACTGCCACAAAATAAAGCGTCTACCGAAAGCAAACACCCGACTCCATATAGGCGGAAAGTTTTCAATTTCCCGGGGAGGGTACGCGGGATTTTCCGAAAGAAAATTCCGCGTCAGGGCGTCAAGTGACCTAGTAACTTGACGTCCGCAGTGTCATGGGATCCCATTCTTGACGCTGCCTTGTCACGTGACCACGGAACTTGAAGTTACAGTGTCACGTGACAGCGCAACTTGGCGTCACATTGTCACCTGGCACCGTTACGTCATAAAGTGGCATGACTACGTAAGTTGACACTGAGGTCTGGTGACGTCACATGAGGCGATCTCGAGGGTAGCGTCACGTGACAACCATCCACTAAATTTAGAAAAACAAATATCATCAGTCGCGCTAAAAACAACCCCTTAAGTCTGCATTCTGCGTAATTTGGACTTGACAGGTAGAATCAATGTGATTAATTTTTTTTTCTTCTCTCATACGGCATTAAGGCTGCTACTAAAGTCGCCGGATCCTGGGAAAGTAGCGCCCTTTCCGTCCCGGCCTCCTATCCGGACACAAACAAAGACCGACATCCAGACGACCAAACCTCGCAAGGTGATTTAGCTGATCGGCCTCAGTTGCCATGGCGGTCGCCATTTCGGTCCATCGATATCTTGGCTTCGAAAGGGTCGTTCTGAACCAGTCGCGCCAAAATCACACTGCGCTGGCGCTGTGCACGCAATCCATTTATCAATCCAGTTTATCTCCCCAGATTTAGCTTACAATAATATTGCTCTCCTTTCGTATTTCAAGACAGGAAAATTATTTTCAATGCCTGCAAGCACCGACACCGCATGTGGTGGTGGGCGATACGAAGATGTACGCTTGTTTCGCCGGTGTGTGGATAGCAAACTGTCGGTATACAAGAAACGTTTCTATAAAGCCACCCCGTCACCAGCTAATTTAGATCGGCTCAACAAGAACGGAGGGGTCAAGGAGAAATTGCTCATTCCATGAACCAAAATGGCGACCATTCGGCGACCTTGGCGCTACTTGCACCGGGATACATTGACTGTAGCCGCTACCGCTTTCGCTCAAGCTTTCCGCTAGCATTTCTTTTGAAATCGTAGATCACCGCGCGTGTAGCAGCACAAACAAGGAAATACGAAAGGTGAAAGAGAGATAAATAAAATCTGTAATCTCGGGGAAAAAAAAGGGAAACGTATGCAGGAAAGAAAACACAGAGACAGCGTCGGCGTCTCACCTTGATGTCCAGGTGAGCGATGTTCCTATCGTGGAGGAACTGCACGGCTTCCAGGATCTGCCGCATGAGTCGAACCACGTCCTTCTCGGGAAGGCACTCCTCGCTGTCCAGCACATGCTGCAGCTCACCACCGGCGGCCCTGCACAAGGAGGGACGTCAGGGCAAAATCTAACGTGACACAATCGTCACGTTCAACGGGCAAGCAAAGACCCGTCATAGGACACCCTTCAATGAAACCTCCATTCTGCGTAAGTAACAAATAAAAAATGATGTAATACATATCAAATCGTAGGTGCCTCTACAATTTCGAACCCCCCCCCCCAGCAAACAGCGCAAGTGTCTAGCAACGCTGAGCGCGTTGAAGATGGTGAACAGTGTCCCCCAGAGTGACCAACAGTGTGCTTCGTGTTCAAAACAAACAGAAAGATGCCGCGGGGTCGTCGTGCGAATCGAGTCCTTTCCTGATCTATGTTCTCGAGCTTGAGCCCTTCATAACACTTCGCGTGGATAGCGAAGTAAAGTTTATCTCCCTTTTCCAATAAAGGCTTCCTGTCTGTGCGTGTAGTGCGTGCAATGCTCGCTTCCTGTAGCAGCGAACGTTGGCAGCGACCAGAGGTGTGCAGACAACTGCGAGCGTTCCGTGCTGACCGGTGCCCCAACCTCTTCAGCACATGTAAGCACGCGCGCGACGAAAACTTTGGCAAGTCGCGCAATCACACAGCAGACATACGGCAGAACGCAGTCAGAACGCTCCGTTTTTGCAATTGTGTACGAACAGCCCATTTCGTTACACGCGTCCCTGGTGCAACGCAACAAAAACACGCTCACCAAAAAGACCTCGCAAACCCACGAACAATCAACGCAGCAAAAAAAGAAAACACACACACACAACCGTTTTAAAAACGCGTGACCGGCACACGCGCTTGCAAAACGTTTCTCTCCTCGAAATCCCAACATATGGGTTAACAGCCCGTCCTCTCGGGCTCCCCCGCAAAGGCGGAGAGCTGAGCTTCGAACGCAACCAAGAGAAGGGCACAAAATGACGATTGCTCTTTTGTACGTCTTGTTCCGCGTGCACAGTTAGCGAGCACAACCCTCTTTCTGACGTAACCGAATTCCCGATTCCCGAAGCTACTCTGCTCTTCAGACTCCATGGGACCAAGGGGGGGGGGGGGGGGGGGGGGGGGGGGGGGGGCGCTTGCCCGAACAGTTTACCTCGGAAGCCTCACCCTCCGTTCCGTTTCACCTTTCTATGGACTTCAGCGGACGCAACGAGGACCATCCCAGCCAAACCAGCGCCGCGAACGTGTCACGTGACACATCGAATCCAATCATTGGATTGGATTCGATGGCCGAAAGTGTCGTCTGCGGTCCATGGTAAGGTAAAAACCGATCACTGGTCGTCACCGTTGAACCTGTTTCTCTCCGAGCAGAACATTGTTGCTCGCTCCAAGTCGGCTTTCCATTTGTTTTGGAGGCAGGAAGACGGGCCAAAACACTCCAGCTGCTCTCCCGCGTCTGTGTAGCGAAAAGAAGTCGGAGAGTGCTGGCGCATAATAAGCGTAAAGGGACGCGGGGCTTCGCCCCATCGAGCTGATTCGAAACGGTGGAACGTCGAGGCAAGCCGACGGACAGGCAGGGAGGTCCGTTTGAAAACAACGAACCCTCCGAAAACAAAAAGAAAGAACAGAGAAACGAACGACTGATTTACAAACGCGAGTGCACGAGGAACAAAGAGAAGACGCCCTGCCCTGTGGATTGCGCAATTTGAACGAACGCATGAAAACTGTGGCGGGGGGCGCGGTTCGGATTGGCGAGCCGACCCTTCGCTTTGTTTGAACTGAGTGTGTGTGTGTGTTTATCTCGCTCCGGTTATTATTTTCCAGCCTCCCTCTTGTGCTGCCACCGTTTTCTGGGGCATTTGCATCCGGGAAGAGTAGGAGCAACTGTAGAGTGGAGGAGCAACCCCGTTCACTCCTACGTTGACAGTGCAGTAGAAAGTATACGTGCTCGTCGGGCCAATCGTACGTCCATCTTTCGCCACGTGATCACGCTCCCGCCCATACCCAAGCGGATAGAACAGGGTCAACGATGAAAGGAAGGCAGTCGATTGGACGGGCGAATACGTGGCCTCCACCGCGCTGTCAGCTTAGAGGTGCACCGAGTACGGACGACGCGTATTACTGTTTGCGATACTTCTGGGTACCGTTATTCGTACTGGGATGATAATAACGGACGTTCAAAGGGAAATTATATCTGTTGGATACGGTTTCGTTCCGTCCTTCTACTGCATACTAGACATTTCAATCACTCTCGCGTATGTAGAACAAGGAACAGACTTTACGAAGGACCTTATCTCAACAAGGACTAACGGGCGGAATAAAGAGCACACCGGCGCGAGCAGATCTGATCGTGTGGGATATCAGAGTCAGACTCGGCCCATGTCAAAGTTGCCGGAAAGTATACCACCGCTTTCTGTACACACGGAGAGACTTTCCTCCTGTACAAGGAAAAACGTGCAAGAGCCGTGTTTTCGAGTTTTCCCGTTGACCCATCCGTTCGAATATATACGAGTTAGGCTGGCGTCTCATGTGAGGACACATGTCACTCGCAACTCTCCTCTGCCTAAAAAAAAAAGAAAAAAAAATTACATATACGCGTTATTTAAACGATATCGGGTTGGAACGTTCCTGACATCGTAGAGGCGTACTGGTCCTAGTCTGGTCCAAGTGTATGCTCGCACAGACCGCCACTGATTCAGAAGCTTCTTTGTCGTGGTGAAATTGCGAGGGTAAAAGGGGACTATTTCTTTCAGTCTTGCCATCGCACAGCGCGGCTCATGAATTGGACACGAGAACTGCGTGAGCACTCGACTTCGGCTCGTAAGAATCAATGCCTCGGCGGACACTCCGGTAGTGGCGCGTGTCCAATCACTGCGGTGATGAGAATACCCGAACTCTAACATTGCCTGAAGCTAAGCAGCGTTTTCTACTTTGCCAACCCCAGCGCGTGGCTATGATTAACTTTGGCGGCATAGGAGAGGCACCAGGACACGTGGCCGCTTGCTCTGGCTCCGAGTTGAGGGGATGAACGAAGCTCTTATTTCTCGATTTTTTTTTTTTTTTGAAACTGCGATTGTTTAAGGGAAAAAACAACATCTGAAGGCAAGTTTATTCAGTTGCTAACGTGGGGGAGTGATTCTGAGTAGTACTTAGCGAAAATAGAAAAATCATTTCATCACTCCTTTAATTAAAAAATAAATACAAATAAAGCAATGTGATCCACCTTCTCAATATAGCTGCGCCATTTTCCCTCGCAATTTTCGTACGCTCTTTTCCTTACACCGTGTAAAAAAAGGCGGAAACTACCAAAACAAGAATTACTCCTGAAAATCTGAGAGAAGAAAAGTTGTGACGTACGACACAGTCACACCCTCTAACTGGATAGAAGCGCCGAAGGATAGGGACAAAGTGAAGGAGGCAATGACAACACGGAGCGCACTCGCAACTCAACGTTTATTAGAAACACACTGACTCGAATACTGTGTGCTTCTAATAAACTTTCAGTTACGAGTCCGCTCCGAGTTTTCGTTATACCTCCTTCACTTCGTCCCTGCCCTTCGGCGCTTCTATCTAATCATGCACCTACTAGCCCAACTGAACATTTTGTTAACTCTGAAGTCGGTTCATTCTAAGAAACCTGGGCCGGCTTGCTAGAATCAGCGCCTCAGCTCGGTAGGGCTCCGGCTTTAAGCCAGGGTTACAGTGTTCATATATACATGGTACAAAAGACAGTCTGCGCACAGATTCGAACGCGATCCACCCCGAGATCCGTGCTTCGAATGCCGCGTGGCAACGAGGGCACGCGGCATTCGAACCGTGGATAGTGCGGTGATTCTCGTTTGCAAACTGTCGTTTCTATGACGTGCGAGCAGTGTAACCCCCCCGGCTTTAGAGGGTAACGCCGCCAGGGGGCAGGTGCCCGTAGTGCCCGCATGCCGGCGACTCACATCTCGAGGATGAGGATGACCTCCGAGGCCGTCTCGAAGACCTCCCGGACGTCGACGACGCGCGGGCACGGCTGGGCCAGCTTCAGGAGCAGGGCCTCGTGCAGGATCTCGTGGCGAACGTCCGAGGCGCGCCGCCGCTTCCGGATGTACTTGGCCGCGTAGTCCCGGCCGGACTCGCGGTGCACACAGCGCCTCACAGTCGCGAACTTGCCCCTGAGGAGAAGAAAGGAAAAGACACCGGATAAATAAAACAACGCAGAAATGAGCGCGGGAACAAGTAGGAGACACAGAAAGAAACGAGAGAAACACACTGGACATGGCAATGTGAGAAAACAGTTCGCTTTCCTTCGGTTCACTCGTACGCAAACGCTTGCGCGGCGCCACACAGCAAAGCAAAGCAAAAGCAAATTGTTGTGTGTATGTCTATACAGCCGGAAGTTAGTCTGCCTCAGGGGGCGTCTGGTGTCTCAGCTGTAGATGAGCAATTTAGCCAGCGCGGTACAACGGTTAACCTGGGGTCTTTAACGTGCACCACGCACTAGTGATACACGACCGCACGCACTGCGAAAGCCAGCAAGCTCGTGCTCAAGGCGGAGCTTCTAGTGTCAGCTTAAGGGTGAACGGGGTATAGAGCACTCCTTTGTTGTTTTTCTTTTCAAATTTGCTTCCTTGATCCTCACAATAAAACTTAATATTCGGCAAAGGTAGGCTCCCTAGTCGACAGCAAAAGATAAACAATGTTTCTTCTCGTTCGCACGTATTTTTGTGTTTATATTGTGCAAACATCGGTAATCAATTTTTTCTAAAATATCAAATAAACTATGTATTATTTGCTTCCCAAAATGCGAAATATTCGTGTAGATGTCGGGCAAATCAATTTATAAAGTTTTAATTAAGACAAACCACTTTATAAGTTATTCGCTTACCAAAATCCGAAATGGTTTGTGTAAGAAGTCGGGCAACACCGTCCACAAGTCGAACTTTGTCGAACCTTGCTAAAAAAGTTCGAAAGGTTCGCCGATCCAGTCGAACGTCAAGGTTCGACAAAAAAAAAAAGAAAAAAAGAAACGTTCGCCACATTCCCAGCCGCCACAAACCCCCTTTGTTCCGACGTCGACCGGCCATACACAACCTTCCCAGATAGCCTTGCCCAACAGAGACACACACGCGCTCGCCGCCGGAGGCCACTACCTCAGCCGCCCGTACACCGGAAAGCACGCGACGACGGGCATCCAGCGCGACAGAGCGTCGGAAATTCCAAAACGCCGCGGCGACGCGCATTCCTTGGCGGGGCGTCGCTGTTAACAGGCCACGCGGTGTCGCGACCATTGCACCGATAGCCGCTTCGAGCCTTGTCGACCCAGGTCAATAAAAAGAGAAGGCCGCAGGGAGTTTGACGGCACGACCACTGCTGTCGACCCCGCGGGCTGCACTTGGTTCACACCTAAGAAGCCGACAGTGCAGTGAAAGCTATACACAGTCGCCGGACCAAGCAAGGAAGTGTGTATAAGCGATCAGACAAAATCACGACAAAATTATCTGACCATACAACAGTATAATAGATAAGTTCAAACATTCATTTTCTGTAAAAGCGACTGAAGAGTGGAATACGCTTCTAGAATGCGTTGTAAACTCCCCAAACGCGCGTCATTTTGCGTCCTCATGCTTGTAAATAAGGTTTGAGTGTATGTGCGAAAATGTTCACGTAAATTAGGATCTTATGTGTGTAGGTCTGAGCTAAAATTGTATTATAAGTTCCTTTTCCTAAATACGTTTTTTTTTTTTTTTTTTTTTTTTTTTTACGAGTGTTTTATTTTGTGTAATATTCTGGAAAGCATTGTTCGTTGAAAGTTTGGTGCAACTGTATAAATACCTTTCAACCTCTCTCGCAACAACCCTCGAGAGAGAAGGCCGGCAGTAATAATAAATGAATAACAAATAAATAAATAACTGCTTCTCTATCTGACCCGAACCAACTCTCTGCGCGTGAGTAAGGGGCAGGAGCGTGACCACGTGACGAAAGGGTATGACTTGTCCGACTAGTAGGTAGCAACCGCCGCACTGTCAGCTAAGGGGCAGGCGTGTGGAGAGCGACAAATCGCCGCTCAAGGTAAAACCGGGCGCCAAAACGTTTCACACTTCGGAAAAGCAGGTGAACGTTCCCGCTTTCGCTATCGCCTCCTCGGTCACGCCTATTATTTTCTATCTTGTAATCGTAACACGGCCCCCGAATGTACCGAGTTATTATCGCGGCAAAGAAGTGTCTCCTAGGCAGAAATAGTGTCCCCAGGGCTTAATAAATAGAGATTCGTATTAAATAATTCGGACGCCTTTCACTGCGAACCGATGACGAAGACACTCAGAATTTTGTAGGGCGTACCAAAAACTTTAAGCCTTTTCGGAGCTCCGGTGAAGAAGGAAAACCAGCGAAGCTGTGGTGGGAGTGAAGTAATGGCCGGCCGCAAGTCGGCCGGTCAGAGTGAAAAGGCAGGAAAGGTTGCCGCCATCTATGAGCAACGGCGGCAACCAGACAACGGGCACCCCGATTGGTTGTCTGGTTGCCGCTGTCACTCATAGATGGTGGTAGCTGTCGAGAGTGTTGTGTCAACATTTGTTTGCTGGCGGACACGATACTGGGAAAACTAGCCCTTAACAGCTCTGCTGTAAAGAGATATTTTAAAAAATCGACGGTTATATAACGGTCCGTGCGAAACGAGATCGACAAGAAAGTAGAAAGGCGAAGCTATATACACTATATACTTTGATTAAAAATCAAAGCGCGGCCGGCGCTAGGAGATGAGGCAAATCAAACAGCGCCAGAAAGCTGCTCGTCATATAGCGCCGTCATATTTCTGTGCGTGTTCTTTTATCGTCTAAACCAATCAAGCGCTCTGAATTCATACGTGTTTAAGCCTTGGACAGCGCTCGGCCTTACGCATTTGATGAAACGATGCATTGATAACTGGTCAGTCGCTAGCTGGATCTCGTACATCTCCTCGTGAATCTCGTCCTTGCCATAGACTGACGGACCGCGCGCAGTCTGATAACACGGAAATGCATTACGTTGCGGGTTATAGTACGAGGAGAAACGAGAAAAAAACGTCATCGTTGTCGGGCGATTTGGAAAGCAGATGGTTCTCCTCGAGGACGCGCAAAGTGATCGAGAGTCAAACCAAGCAGCCGATTCGGATATGGCTCTGAATTGACGCACGTGGGCGGACATCGGAAGCTCGCGGGGGCCGCGAACGGACAGCAGGAAACGGTGGCCATCCAAATCGGCCAGACGAAGAATTCAGAAAGAGTGGCCAAGTCGGCGCGACACGTCCGCTCAGGCCGCCACGTCGTAAGTGGACGAGACATGCGGAAGAGCATGCCACTCAAGACCGAGTTGAAAGATGTGTCCTCCTGGACTTTCCGGTGCAGGTTTTAAGCGCGGAAGAAGAGTCTGCTAACCTGCATTTTCATCATCCAATTCTTCAAAGAACTATCTTCGTCATAACAGTGACCGAAAAAAAAAAAAATAACACCCCGCATCGTTTTGTCTAGACCTAGAGTGCACGTCTTGGCAAATCGTGTCCCGTTCCCTCTGCATGCACAACACAGCGTTCCGAATGGCTGTGCTTACAGACCAGAGATATCAAAGAGATAGCCAAAACAGTCGGAGAACGAACGTTCGTGGCGTTCAATGTTCGCCCTGACCAGCTGTCAGTGGTGAGCGATATTTTCCTGATACACAACCCGTATTTGTTATCTGGGTATTCGCAGCTCCAACCTCGTGCATTGAGTTTAACCCCTTTTGCTCCGCTGCACATTTCGGCAGCCGGGGCGCGCCAGTTTTCGCTGCAAACTCGGAGAGGTGGCTATAGCTCCCCGGTTCTCTCGTTCACGCCTTTGCCGCTGGGTGGCGCCGCCTCCATTGAAGCTGTGAATATCTTCCATAGATGCAGACAGACTTTAAACAGAATGCATCCCCCGGTAGTCGCCCACAAGGAGAATATGCGTTAGCACATGATCTAATCACGTGCCACTCATATCGTCAACTGGTGATAACCAGATTCGGCAACTAGTGTTACATATACTGTCCTTATACTTGCGCCTATGGATAATACTGTGTGTACAAAACAATTATAAAATCAGCTAATTTCCATTTATAATTCGATACAAAATGCAAGCTGAAGTTCGCGTTTTACTGTAATTACTGGGCACGGGCGTCAGATGTAAGCGAGAAGGTTATGCTTGCCGTTCGGGCGACTTTACGGTTCGGGCGTATGTCCGTCTCGCCACAGGTTCAACTGAGGCCATCACAATTTACACGCTTGTGCTTTTTTTTTTTTTTTTTTTTTTTAGGAAAAAAGGAATATAAAGAGAAAAAAAAATGACGTCAGCATTTACGGCGTACGTCTGTCAGGCTTCCAAGAAGAATCCCGTGTTGACAGACGAAAGCAGTCACCCCGCCAATTTGCATAAAACATTACCGCGTCAGGACGCAAGCAAGAGCCAAACTCACGCAACCTTTCACTCGCTTCGCGCACATATTTTTTTTCCCGCAACTACTTCGCTCCGGCCGCAATCGTTATGCTAAGCCGCGGGGTTCTTTAACCGCTCGCCAAGTTCACCGCGACACAACCCGGACGAGGGTAGCTGCCCTCTTTACGGCGGTACAATGCCTCCCGATCGCTCGAAAACAGAGCCCTCCCAAACGCGACCAGGCTTCGTACACCGCCTTACGGCGAACCGCAGTGGACACTGCGAGCCGTCGGAAACAATCACAAGCCGTGTGGGTATCACGTGACCTTCGAGAGGGGCAACAGATACACGCGAAACACGCACCGTATTCTGGCTGAAGAAAAAAAAGTATTTCGATAATTTGTGTTCGAAGCTATAATGCACACGGAATAGTCCTCATACTAAGCACATTTTGACAGCCTGCTTTATTAGCTCACAAAGAAGCTTGTATCGTACACAAATCTTCGTTCACGTACTCCGTAGTTCACGAAATACGTCACATCTCGTCGTAACCGAAACGATCTAAGAAAAACAAATCGTCGCATATAACGCGCTCCGCGTAAAATCTCCAACTTCTAAACGTGGGTAGGCCACGGGTCCGGAAGATACGGTAGTCACGTCAATAGGCATACAGGCAACGCTGGATTCGCCTGGGATGGCTCGTACCTTCCGCTGCGGTCCATCGCCTATACGAAACGGAGCATACA